TATACTTTTTACCAAAAATTTCTTCGTAATAATTCTCTTCATATTTGTTCCGTGTTAGAATCATTAGTCATTACATTATATTATTTGCAAATTGATTAATTATGAAACTAATTTTCTATTAATCGTGATCTAGATTAAGTATAGAGATTAATTATTAGAGAATTATTCGTTAATTGTTATAAACATATTTATGTAACAAATGGAAATATCATATAGGAAATTGAATTGAAATGAATTTAACGAGATTAAAATTGATGATATTTATTCTGAAATATTGTCATTTAGTTTATATATCACGACAATACAATAATACAATCCAGTTTCATTCGAAAATCCACTTTCCATTTTTTCAAACAGTTTTAAATTATGCATTCAGAAAAGTTGAGAAAAATTAGATGGAATATTAATTCATTATAAAATCTTCGTAGAGCTAAACACTTTTTTCTGATTTTGATCATTCGTGAGCATAAATCAAAATAATAATTCTAACTCGTATGGAAATTTTAATTTATCGAGTAGATTTGAATTTTTCAAGCAAGTTTTTCTATGTCGTATTATTTTATATCGTATCGTATTTTTATACTTATATAAATACTTATTATCTACTATTTATCATTTTTATATTAATTTAATGATTTATTTTACAAAAAAATGTTTTTACAAATGTTTTAGAATATATAATAATAATTGTGTAACTATAATTATAAATGTTTTCATTTGAAAATCAAAAATAAAGAATATCGTACGACAGATCCAATATATATATATATATAATAATAATAATATATGTAATAATAATATCGATCTTATTCCAAATCTTAAATAATCTTTCAATTGTTAATGATCTCAGTGAAGCAACGAAACGAAAAAAAAAAAAAAAATAAATTGATCTTTATCGTTCATCGACTTTCTATTTTTCGAATTAATTCGTAAATGAAAACTTTATTAACACTGACTTTTGCTGAATCATAAAAGCAAGAGCAATGGAATAAAAGATAAATTGACTGAAAAATAATAATATTATCAATTACAAAATAAATTATAGATACTTATATCACATCTTTCAGAAAAATACACGACTTCGATACAGATATTGTGAATTAACAACGAATAGAAGAATTGCGTTCTATCACAATTCTTTGGATGTTGATTAATGTGAAAAATTACATCATGACATGATGAAATGAATGAGAGAAAAAAAAAAAGAGTCATAAAGATAATAGAACATTCATTATTTTATAATTATTATAAAGAAAAGACCCCCTCTGAGGTTCACGGGCAGAGGAAGCTCGTATAATGAATTTTAAACATCGTCAATCAAAAACTTATTTTCGTGGACAGCATATCAAATCACTACATACTGATCTAAAAGTAATCATATGCGTAATTATTTGCAAGCGGGACACGTGTCGTTGAAAGCGAAACATCACATTACGAGAAAAAACAGAATTAGTAGAACTTGTTGAATCTTTTATACATAATATGTATATCAATGATGGTAGAAAAATGGGAAGTAATAGGAAGGAATCAAAATTAGATACTCTAAATCTAAGTAATTAATCACCTCATATTATCGATATATAAATAAAATGTCACTAGCAATATCCTCATATTTTGAAACTTTTAAACTTTATACGTTTATACGTTTCGTAACACTTTCATATACGTACACCGATGAAAAATAAAGAGTAAAAGAAGCACGAATTTTACTACTATGTAGACCTTGCTTGCCAAGAGAACACGAAGAATCTAGAAAAAACAACTCTCAAGGGCGTTCACGTAAACAGAGTCGAACGATTTATAAACAGGTTTCCACTAAAAAGAAAAATAAAATCTCACGTGACCATGTAACTAATATTCACATAAATTTAGACATAATAATATAAAATAAAACTTTCATTAAATTATTCTCACCTGTTCACGATCTCTACACTAAAAATATAGGAGTTCAATGGAATATATTCAAATCAACAATAGTTTTATAAGTGTTTTAACTAGATTAATAACAATACTGGATAATTCTGGTAATTAGCGTTCCATTAAATGTGACATCATCGATCATTAATATTATTAATTGATGAATTTCACCAAAAATATTAAACAATTGTATAGAATACACCATTACCAGGAACAGGATATTTTTAATGTTGCAATTACATTTCATATTCTATGTAAGCACGCGTAACACTTGGTCAAGAAGCGAAACAACCGTCTTTCCATGCGGTATAACTTTCTACGCGCGAAAATCTCCTTTTTCGATTAAGCAAACAATTACTATAACCAGATTTTAAAATTATTGAAACGCATATAGAAATTATATTATATGAACATCTCCCTTCAATCACTTACAAATTCATTAAAATTAATTCCACAAAATAATAAATTTTATTGCGATAGAAGTAATAGTAAATAGTAGTAATAGAGCAATATAAATATATATGTCACAAATTATCATGAATAATTTAATGTTGAGTCATTAAATTCTAAAAATTATAAAAAAAAAAGACTTACATAAAATATTAATTGACAGTAAATGTATTCTCAATCGATCTTATATTACTCGTTTCTTAATAGATATTGGCAAAATATGTATATAGAATATTAGCAATCAGATCTCTTTTAATTTTTCCATAAATTTCGCGGTATGTTCGCATGCAAAATTTCGATTTATTTGTATGAAATGTTGCGTTGCGTAATAAGTTCGTGAAAAGAAATCGCGGGTGAAAAGGGTTAACATGTGATAAGTGAAATTAAAACTTTTTATATTGATACAAAAATTCAAATTTTATAATATTCTATCATAGTTTGAAATATCAAGATCGCACAATTTTGAAACTACGTAACAAATGATATTGAGTAATTTTTGATGTAAGCATTTTTTTCTTTTTTAAATTAAAATTTTAATCACTCGTGAAGAAGAAAAATACTTACAGAAATAATATAATGATGCTTCAAATGAGATTATTTTTATTTTGATAATCGTTACATCTTACGATATGAGAAAATAAAATATAATAAAATTTTTGAAATTTATCGCTGACCATGCAGTTTATTGACGAGTTTCTTTTTGTTTCAGGTATGGAAGAGACTGTCAAGTTGGTGCAGACCGCGGGTGGTACTTGTTATGGTTATGTTTGCGATTTATGCGACAAGGAAGATATTTACAAGAAAGCTGAACTAGTTAAAAAAGAAGTTGGGAAGGTGAAGATCGCGTTATTGATGAAATAATCGAAGAACGTGAAGTGATTCAAATTGAAAGTATTTCGAAGATTCTTTTTTAGAATTCTTCAATCAAATATTCGTGTATTTCGTCACAACAAATGCCATTATATTAATTTCGCCTGTAGCTCAATAATCAATTAGCAAAGGCGCATACGAAAACCAGCAGCTTTCAGGATT